TTTTTAACTTGTTTAACCACTCCAAATTTTTTTTATTTTCTTTAAAATTTTTTGACAGTCCCTTTCCCCCCTCTTCATCTCTTCCTTTTGCACTCTCTCACCCACTCCTTTTTTTTTTTTCTTCCATATACTCTCCCTTTCTTAAAACACTTCTGTTTTGAAAAAACCTCTATAAGCTACCTTTTTCTCTTTTTTTCACCCCCTTTCCTTCATCATTGCACCTGACCCTTTTCCCTCCGCCCCCCACCCCCTTAAACAAACTTTGCCCCATTTTCTAATATGCATTTTTAAAATATTAAAAACCTCTTCAAACCCCCCCACTATCATTTTTGCACTAGCCCACCTTTCCCCAAAATGTGCTTATATCTCACCCGATCTTCCTCCTCCCTTATTTTATACACTTTCACCGCCCCTTACTTGTTGTTGCCACCTTTTTTTTTCCCATCTACCTCTTACTCTAACTGTGCTCAACTAAATAATGACCCGAAAATCAGTTGCCCCTCTATAAACATGTACATCCTGGGCCTACCCATCAATTTTTATTCCCCCAAATACATAATCTAATAAACTACTTTTTACGTGTCCATACCTTGTTTTTATTTATCCCCTTTTCATAAAATGTATTATTATCCCCACTATTTATATTAAAAATTAATACCCATCCGAAATTTAGGACCCGAATTTTTTCATTTTTAGATCATGTTCCCAAAAATGAAACACTAAAATTTTTAAAATACACCAAAGCAAAAACAACTTTATGCTCAAGGCCTGGTATGTTGAGATTCCTATAGATAGAGTTAAACAAAATGACTGCTCATCATAAAAAAAACAAAAAAAATTTTAAACCTGTGTGAGTGAATGTGCATGATTTTCAAATTACATGGTTGCTAGTTTGGTCTCCAGTACAACATTAACACTCCTGAAATTTTTTTGTAAGTCGAGTGTTCAGAGCTCAGAACCTATATTCCCACAAACAACTGCCATATCATGGATTTTTTTTCTTTTGTGTGTATGTGTACTCACCTATTTGTGATTGAAGGGGTCGAGTAACAGCTCCTGTGTGTGTGTACTCACCTAATTGTGGTTGCAGGGGCCGATTCATAGCTCCTGGCCCTGCCTCTTCACTGGTTGCCATTAGGTCTACTCTCTCCCTTCTCCATGAGCTTTATCATACCTCTTCTTAAAGCTATGTATGGTACTTGCCTTCAATACCTCACTTTCCAGACTATTCCACTTCCTGACAAATCTATGACTCTCTCTCTTGTCTTACTGTTGTCAGCTTGTCACAGAACTCCAGTAGGGGGTTGATTCATAGCTCTTGGTCCCGTCTCTTCACTGGTCGCCACTAGGTCCTCTCTCTCCCTGCTCCATGAGCTTTATCAAACCTCGTCTTAAAACTATGTATGGCTCCTGCCTCCACTACATCACTTTCCAGGCTATTCCACTTCCTGACAACTCTATGACTGAAGAAATACTTACTAACATCCCTTTGAGTCATCTGAGTCTTCAACTTCCAATTGTGACAACTTGTTTCTGTATCCCACCTCTGGAACATTCTATGTCCACCTTGTCAATTCCTCACAGTATTTTATATGTCGTTATCATGTCTCCCCTAACCCTCCTGTCCTCCAGTGTAGTCAGGCCATTTTCTTCACAGGATATTCCCCTTAGCTCTGGAACTAGTCTTGTTGCAAACCTTTGCACTTTCTCTAGTTTCTTGATGTACTTGACCAGGTGTGGGTTCCAAACTGGTGCTGTATACTCCAATATGGGCCTGATGTACACAGTGTACATAGTCTTGAACGATTCCTTACTGAGGTGTCAGACTGCTATTCTGAGGTTTGCCAGGCACCTATACGCTGCAGCAGTTATTTGACTGATGTGCACCACAGATGTGCTCGGTATTATACTCATCCCAAGATCCTTTTCCTTGAGTGAGGTTTGCAGTTTTTGGGCACCTAGCCTATACTCTGCAGTCTTGTTTGCCCTTCCCCGAACTTCATAACTTTGCATTTGGCAGGGTTAAAGTCAAGGAGTCAATTGCTGGATAAGGCTTGTAGCCTGCGCAGGTCCCTTTGTAGTTCTGTCTGATCCTTATCCAATTTAATTCTCCTCATTAATTTCACATCATCTGCAAACAGACACACTTCTGAGTCTATCCTTTCCGGCATGTCACTCACATATACCAGAAACAGCACTGGGCCTAGGACTGATCCCTGTGGAACCCCTCATCACAGGCACCCACTCTGACACCTTGTCACATACCATGACTCATTGTTGCCTCCCTGTCAGGTATTCTCTGATCCATTGCAGTGCCTTTCCTGTTATGTGTGCCTGACCCTCTAGCTTTTGCACTAATCTCTTACGTGGAACTGTGCAGAAAGCCTTCTTGCAGTCCAAGAAAATGCAACCCACCCCTCTCTCTCTCTCTCTCTTGTCTTACTTCCGTTATCTTGTCATAAAACTCCAGTGCTGGTTGTCGTGTATTAGCTTGTTCCTTTCTAGGTGCTCCACCATTCTTCTCCTGATAATCTTCTCCATGACTTTAAATACTATACATGTCAGTGACACTCATCTGTAGTTGAATACCTCATGGTTACCACCTTTCTTAAAATTTGTGACTACATTTGCTGTCTTCCACACCTCAGGAAGTTGTCCAGTTTCAGTGGATGTGTTGAAGGTTGTTGTTAGTGGCACACACAGCATCTCTGCTCCCTCTTTAAGGACCCACAGAGAGATGTTGTCCAGTCCCACTGCCTTTGAGGTATCTAGTTCACTCAGCAGTGTCTTCACCCCCTCCTTGGTTGCGTGCATTTCGTCCAGCACTTGTTGGTGTATCCACTGTTGGTGTACCCCACTATTCTGGCTTTCTGGAGTCCTTCCTGTCTCCACTGTAAACACTTCTTTAAATCTCATGTTGAGCTCCTCACGTACTTCTTGGTTGTTTCTTATGAACTCCCCTCCTGCCTTCCTCAGCCTGATTACCTGGTCCTTGACTGTTGTTTTCCTCCTGATGTAGCTATACAACAGCTTCGGATCAGATTTGACTTTCGATGCTATGTCATTTTTGTATTGCCACTGGGCCTCCCTCCTTATCTGTGCATATCTGTTTCTGGCTCTTCAACTAATCTCTTTATTTTACTGGGTCCTTTGTCCTCTGTAATTTTTCCATTCTCTAGCACACTTAGTTTTTGCCTCCCCACACCTTTGGTTTAACCAAGGTCTCATGCTGGTCTTTCCACTATTTCTGTTGCCCTTGGGAACAAATCTCTCCTCTGCCTCCTTGCATCTTGTTGTCACGTAGTCCATCATTTCGTTTACTGATTTTCCTACCAATTCTCTTTCCCACTGAACCTCTTGCAGGAAGTTCCTCATGCCTGTGTAGTCCCCCCTTTTGTAGTCTGGCATTTCCCATCCTACTCCTGTTACCCTCTCCACTTTTAACTCCGTGTATGTGTGTGTGTGCTCACCTATTTGTGTTTACAAGAGTCAAGTCACTGCTCACATGTGTATGTGTTTCTGTTTGTTGTTATTTGTTTCTGAAATTTTCTCAAGGGTTCTCAAGAAAATGCTACTTGGTATACTGCACATCATACAGCATTACAAGACTAGAGAAAATCCCGTGTATATAATATATTCTACTGAACAATATTATTATTTTTATTATCACACTGGCCGATTCCCACCAAGGCAGGGTGGCCCAAAAAAGAAAAACTTTGACCATCATTCACTCCATCACTGTCTTGCCAGAAGGGTGCTTTACACTACAGTTTTTAAACTGCAACATTAACACCCCTCCTTCAGAGTGCAGGCACTGTACTTCCCATCTCCAGGACTAAAGTCCGGCCTGCCGGTTTCCCTGAACCCCTTCATAAATGTTACTTTGCTCACACTCCAACAGCACGTCAAGTATTAAAAACCATTTGTCTCCATTCACTCCTACCAAACAGCTCACGCATGCCTGCTGGAAGTCCAAGCCCCTCGCACACAAAACCTCCTTTACCCCCTCCCTCCAACCTTTCCTAGGCCGACCCTACCCCGCCTTCCTTCCACTACAGACTGATACACTCTTGAAGTTATTCTGTTTCGCTCCATTCTCTCCACATGTCCGAACCACCTCAACAACCCTTCCTCAGCCCTCTGGACAACAGTTTTGGTAATCCGCACCTCCTCCTAACTTCCAAACTACAATTCTCTGCATTATATTCACACCACACATTGCTCTCAGACATGACATCTCCACTGCCTCCAGCCTTCTCCTCGCTGCAACATTCATCACCCATGCTTCACACCCATATAAGAGCGTTGGTAAAACTATACTCTCATACATTCCCTCTTTGCCTCCAAGGACAAAGTTCTTTGTCTCCACAGACTCCTAAGTGCACCACTCACCCTTTTCCCCTCATCAATTCTATGATTCACCTCATCTTTCATAGACCCATCCACTGACACGTCCACTCCCAAATATCTGAATACATTCACCTCCTCCATACTCTCTCCCTCCAATCTGATATCCAATCTTTCATCACCTAATTTTTTTTGTTATCCTCATAACCTTACTCTTTCCTGTATTCACTTTCAATTTTCTTCTTTTGCACACCCTACCAAATTCATCCACCAATCTCTGCACAATATTAGTCAATACAATATTAGTCAGTACATTTTTTTTTTTTTTTTATTTTTCAACATACCGGCCGTATCCCACTGAGGCAGGGTGGCCCAAAAAGAAAAACGAAAGTTTCTCTTTTCAAATTTAGTAATTTATACAGGAGAAGGGGTTACTAGTCAGTACATGTACTGTTAAAAAAAAAAAGTGTTTTTTCATTCCAGTTCTCGTTTCTTGAATTTTACAAGGTGACTAGTTTAGTTGTTTTCTCTTAATTTTTATACAATGCTAGAGGTAGGAAATATTATGTACAAAAATTCAGGTGATACACGATGACAGCAAGCAAACAAAACTACTTGATGACAGGCAAAACCAGTTACAAATCAAGACTCACTCTAGCATAAGGATTATCGTATACCATGCTTTTTACTGGTGCTCGGCGCTGCCAAATGATTTCAGTCTTTGTATTTCCTTCACTGCAAAGATGAACTCGAAGTCTAGGATTACCTGCTCGACACCTTTTCCATGCTTTATAACTGAGGGATCGTCCATGTTCTGTATATTTGTTTTGCACTATATACATATTCCTTACTTTGGATTCAGCCAGTAATTCAAGGAGATCATCACCAATATTCTGAAAAAACAATATAACATACAATACAATATGAATGTAACAAATATTTTTATAGTCCCTGTTAAAATATAAGCAATACTGTGAGTTTAAATATTTTATCATGCTGTAAGCTCTGTAAATACTATAATGTATATATATAGTGACAACACTACAGTGGTAATACAGTGAAAACACTAACTACAGTGTTAATACAGTGGCAACACAACAGTGTTAATACACTGGCAACACAACAGTGTTAATACAGTAACAATAACTAGCGTTAATAATACAGCAACAACACAAACTACAGTGTTAACACAATGATAGTGTTGGTAATACAACACTTACAGTGACAACAAGTGTTATAACAGTGACATAAATATCTGCTAGTGTCATCCTTCTATTCCCCAGACACTTTATTACCCTTACAGAAATGTTAGTTTTCTGTGTAATAAAATGTGTGAGAATTTATTGTTCACTATGTCTAAAATACTTGAAAAACAATGTGTTGAGGCATCACAATAAAATATTACCACCTGCACCATTACTTGTAAGGTAGAGTTTGTGTGCAATTTCAAGCTTATTTTACTGAACCCTACTCACTTGTATTAAGTTTAAATAAGATTGTAAAACAGCTAACCACTATTAGTACTTGTCTAGTTTTAGGTACAGTTACTATGTACTATTATCTTTTCTAGTTTTAATTAGTTACTATGTATTAGGATTAGGTTGCTCGAAGTGCCTCGGCATGATAGTGGCTGTCTTTGTACTTAGCAAATCAGGATATGAGCAGTCGCTCGGTCGATTTTTTGTTTCTGGATATGAGCAAAAATTCAGGAAGCGAGCTTCCTCCTCAAACAACTCTTTTTTTAGACCTCCAACAACTTTTTTTTAGACCTCCCCTACAGTCTGTAGTGGAAGGAAGGCGGGGTAGGGGTCGGCCTAGGAAAGGTTGGAGGGAGGGGGTAAAGGAGGTTTTGTGTGCGAGGGGCTTGGACTTCCAGCAGGCATGCGTGAGCGTGTTTGATAGGAGTGAAGGGAAAGACAAATTTTTTTTAATTTTGGGGAGTGCTTTGGAGTGTGACAAAGTAACATTTATAAGGGGTTCGGGGAAAACCCGGGCAGGCCGATTTTATCTTGGAGATGGGAAGTACAGTGCCTGCACTCTGAAGGAGGGGGTTAATTTTGCAGTTTAAAAACTGAGTGAAAAGCACCCCTTCCGGCAAGACAGTGATGGAGAAAATGATGGGTAAATTTTTTCTTTTTGGGGCCCACCCTCTGTGGCATGAAAAGAGTACGAACCTTTATTCGGCGCATTACACCCCCCAAATTTACAGGCTATCCCCCCCAACCCAACGAACCAGGTTATAAGATTGATGAGGGGCCCCGCATTAAACAGTGACCAGTTCTAGCCAATAAGAAATGGTTTTTGGGCAATCCCCGAGGTTTATGTGGGTACCACTCTCCTTTTGCCCTTGTCATTCCCTTCTAAAGGGGCGGGTTTTGAAGCACCTGTTTTGTGGTTTCTATTTCTGCCTTGCTTCCCGGGATGCACTATACTTATCACTGTACATAGTGTAATATTGCTGTTCAAATTGGTAAAGGGATAATATAAGTCAAAATTTTTTTTGCGTTTTTTATTTTGCTCCATTACCCCCGGGATAAAGGCCATTTGGAACCCTGGGTTGTAATATGGTAGCCTGTCCAAACTGGAGCTGGACTTAGAAAAAGGGTTGAGCTTGGGGTGAACTCGACAGGAACTTTGTGCAGTTTTGCTGTCTGGCATTGCATTAGTTTTGCCTACGCTTTAAAAATTTTTTCGTGTCGGTTGTTTTTTTTGGTCAGCCTTGCATTGGTGATCGTTCAACAGCTCCACTAGCTTGTCAGTTGCTCGCTTGCTACGGTCAATTTTTCTAGAACAGTGTACTGTCTGGCTTTTGCTTTAAAAATTTTTGCGTGTCATTGTTACTAGCCTGTTCGGTGGGGGAAAATTTTTTGCAGTCAGCTTGCTTGTATGCGTATTCTGAAATTGTACTGTATAGTTTAAGCGTGTTCTGCAGGAATAACTTTCCACCTAAGGTCGACGTCGTGCGGCATATACTTTGCAAAAACCCACCTAAATTGAGCCCTTAGACCGCGGGTTAAACCCCGGCCCGGGGGTAGGTCTACCTAAATTGTCCCTCACCGTTGTTACAAATTGCTCGTTCCTTTGGCTTTAAAACAAACGCACTCTCACAGCTGCGAAACTGCATTCACTGTTTCTGAAAAACTTAAAGAAGAAGAGATGGCACATAAACTCCCCCCCTCTACGGAGCTGGGGCAAAAACTACTATTTTTCGCAGGGGGAAGATGATACACCACGGAGCAAAATGGTCAATTTAGTGCGCTGGGTTTCTCAAGGTGAATCAGCGTTTTGGGCACTTGAGCGGGCAAAAATCAATCTTGAGCAAACTAGGGAACAGAGAGCATTCGCAAGGGAAAAATTTGATAGGGAAAGAAAAAAGGAGGTTTTTTCGCTTTCTGTAAATAAATTTAGTTTAAAAAACAGTACAGCTTGTTCCCCGCTTAAATGAGGCCGAACCAGAGCATTTTTCGAATGTTCGAAAATCGGGGCTCGAGCCTTGGGGGTGGCCAGAACAGCTTTGGGGCATCGTTGGTTCATACAGCATTAGGGAAAGGGGCACAGGAATTTACTCAGTTTTAAAAATGACGCTAAATTTTTCTGATTATCAAGTAGGAAACCACATTTTGGGGAGCATATACTTTATCCCACCCAAAATACAAAAAGATTTTTAAGTGGGGACACAGTTTGGTAAACCCCTATGGATTTTGGAGAAGAAAACCCAAAAGCTTTTACCAGCTGGATAAAGCAAGGGTTCTCTACCTTTGGGGACTGGTACCTTTATTTGTTTTGATAACCTGCGGGAGTCTGTGGACCAGAGGTTCGAGTCTTTCTGCAGGATCGTACTTAACCATGCTTTGGGGCAGCCGGGTTTGGGCGAACCTCGAAACAACCGCCCCTTGTCCAGCGTCCCGTCTCTCTTTCAACAGCCGGCATGACAAGATCGTCAACCTTGGGGAAAAGAAGGGCCAGCCGGAGGGAGAACGTCTACTTCAGCCAACTAATCACCTGGGAGCCACTTTTCTCAACTTATGGCCCCTGCGGGAAAGGAAACTACTCAGGGTGCATCTCGAAAACGTATCCGAGGCACCACCAGAACGACACCATTTGAAATGTCAGCGGGGAGAAAAGGGCAACCCTGTCGTCTGCTTCCTGGTAAAAAGTAGTCACACCGCCCCAAACTCCCCCCAAAAACCCCCCAACCCATTGGAAAATCTCTAATATCCCTAGTAACATGCCCCCCTAAGAAGTAAAAAAGGGTAGGGCCCCTTATTTTTGCAAGAGTTTAATTTCCTTCGGGAAAAAACTCGAAAAAATGAAGTAAAGACCTTTAGAGATATGGAGCATTTTTTGCTCACTTGTAAGAAAAGGGAATTTTCCCCCCTTTTCAAAAACACTTCCTTAAATTTTCCTCTTTTTTATTGGAAGCTTTTTTGGGGACTATATATTCTTTTTCCTTTGCATAAAATTATGTACAGGCAAATATTAACTGGGTACTTGACTTAGGTGTCTCAAAAGGATTCCCCAAAAAAGATGCCATGTTTTTACTGGGTAATAAATATACTTTTAGGCGTGCCCCAACCCTATAATGATAATTCTTTTCCGGTGTTGGCCATAACTCGGGAAACCCCCCAAGGGGTTTGCTGGAGAGAAGGGGTTACCTTCCGGAGACCCGATCTGGGAATAGCCACGTTGTTTTATGAGGCACCCGGTTTGGACCCTCGTAAATCAAGTGAACAGCCCCCGATCAACCCTTTCCTACCCCAGGTTGCAATTGCCAGATTCTCTGTTTCCACCCCGAGGGACGCCCTTTCCGGGGAGGAAACAATGAAAGGACCCTTCTTTAAAATTCGCTTTTCAGGCACCCAGGGTAAATCCCTTTGGGTCATCCGGTAAAGATGAATTTAAAAACGTTATTTGATTTTCACGAACGGTAAGGAGTAGGGGGCCGGCAACTTTTTAACGGGTTAGTGGTTCCAACGAAGTATAGACCTAAAATATTAAATATAGCTCATAAACTTCATTAGGGGTCACTTAGGAATTAAAAAAAACCCTTGTACATGGACCCCCGCAAAACGATCACCTCCAAATGCGCCCAAATTTATGTAAGTGTTTTTATGAAAGTGCTTTTTGTACGGTTTTGGGGGATTGAAATGGACTAACTATTTCACAATACCTTAAGGGAACAAATTGGGTCAGTACGGCACCGAACATATTCGGAGTGAAAAAATATCAACCCGGGGGCCACTGTAAGAAACACAAAAGAATTTTATTGGGCCAAAATTAAAGAAAGATGTAAAAACTATTAGGTGTTGCCGAGAAAGTCAGCAATAGGGAAACCCGGGAAATTCATTAAACTGCACCTCTCCAACCTATGCCTGATGTGGAAACCTTTTTCAGATTTAATTTAGATTGTGAAGGTCCACTATCTAGTCAAAAATCTGGAAATCAATATTTTTTTACGATTATGGATAAAGTAACCCGATCCCTGAAACAATTCCCATGCGTTATTAATACTAAAGCTATTCTCAAAGCTTAAACAAAATTCATTTCTTGTTTTGGATTTTAAAACTATTTAAAAATGATCAAGGTACTAACTTCCCCTGCCAAAAACATTTTTGCGAAGCATTAAAATAGGCTAGGATAATCCACAACTTATCCACTGCCTTCACCTCAGTCCCCCCAAAGGCGCCTTGGAAAAATTCCCTCAATTTAAAAAATATGTGAAACTTTTTTTGGGATGCACTTCCCACAGACGGGTGAACACTACCTTTGTTGCTGTTCCAGTACAAAGACGGTGCAAGAGTTACAGGGTATGTCCGTTTTAGGATCTTTGGGCACAATGACGAGTCCCCTTTGGTGCCAAAGAAGATGATGGGGGGGAAACGTTAGAACACTCACAACCCGTCTTCCAAAGGGTTTCAGGTGCCCTCAGTTACCAAGGCAACCTAAAGCAGCTCAAAGTAAGATGAAACAGAGGGATGCAGAATGCCAATTCTGCTCCCTTTCCTCCCGGAACAAGGTTTGGGCAGGAACCAACCGGGGACACTTGAAAGCTAGATTTTTCGGGGCCTATGCAGATTGTAAGTAGATTTTTGATTAAATTTGTGGGACTCCCATTAAAAAAAGACCTCAAAAACTAAAAAATTCCACATTAATCAATTAAAAACTTTTCATACACCAGATAAAGTCCCCGTAATACTCTGTCCCCCTACCTCTGAGGATGACCGATTCTTTGACACATTCTGAAATTAATATTAAAAACTTTTTAAATTCTGCCTCCTCAAAGGGTCCTAGCCCTTTTAAAGGAGGACATCGAAACGCAAGCAAAATTTAACGGAGCTTTACAGTCATTCCTAAAATTTTTTCGGAAATTTTCGAAAAAATGTACGTTAGGTTATCATGATGTAGTGTGGGAAACCTAAAACCAAATTTAACTCTCCCCCACAGAGCTAATCCAAAAGCAAAGGCTACTTCAGCAGGGAAATAGAATTTTTGTTTAAAACATGTTTTGTGGGGGAGTCATCTATCCATGGGCTTCACCCTGCATCCCTTTTGGAAGAAGGCTGATGGAGGGTTTCAAAGTGTACAGCTACCGTAAGGTGAATGAGGTTTTCAATTACAGAGCTTACCCTCTTCCCGTCGGATGACGTAATTGATTTTGGGGGAAGGCTACTTTTTTGCCCGTTGTTCCTTAAGTTACTATCAGGTACCTTTGAGGGTAAGGCGAAGGGAAAACTCTGCCTTTTAATTCCAGGAGTCATTATCAAAACACAGTTTACCCCCTTTGGAATGAAAAATTTTCCCCCTCTTCATTCAGAAACTTAACCCCAGGATTTAAAAGGGCTTGAAAGGCATGGCAGCGCACCAGATATAGTTGTGGTGTCTGAACTTGGGATCAACACCTATTAGACTTAAGGCTCTTTTTGAGACCTTTCAAGTTTTTTTTATTTTTAAAATTAATTTATCTAAATCTTCCTTTGGCCAGGCCCCTGTTTCTTTTTAGGCCCTGAAGAGGTGGGTAAAGTTGCTCCCAAACTTGCTAAAGTTCTTGCTATTAAAGATTATCCATTTTTCCCCTTTTAGGGAAAACTGTTCAACGTTTCCTAGGCAAAGATTTTACAGAAAGGGTTTGTAAGAATTTTTCAGATATTTACCCCCTTCCTCCTTTCCAGTCACAAAATTCCCTTTAAATTTACCTCAGACTGCAACACGTTTTAATAAAGCAAAAAGATTTTGTGTACGCCCCATTCTCTTGTCTCCAACTTCTCCAAACCTTTTTCATTACAGGTTGATGCTTTTGGTCTGGGGTTTGGGGGAGTACTATTACAATTGGGGAAAAAGGAGTTGCAGCCCGTACAAATTTTTTTCAGCCAATTCCAGCCCCATCAGAGGCTTACTCTACTACTGAAAAAAAAGCCCTCGCGCGGTACTGGTTTGAGCATTTCTGTTTTTGTGGGGGCCCGCATCGCAGGGGGTCACGTCTACAGTGTCACAATCCTCTAGTTATCTCCCAAGCCATGAAAACCACAACACAAGGCTCAGCGCGGACCTAAAATGCAACCCCTTTCACTCAAATTAAAAAAAATTTCCGGGAAAGAAATATGTTTTGGGAACTCTTTTCTAGAGTCTAATATTTTTATTATTTAGGTTGGATTTTTTGTGGTAACCCCCTTTTTACGCTCTTTTTTTTTATCCCCTGGTGTGGGTTTTTTTTTTGTGAGGGGATGCGGGCTACTGTCCGCCTGTATCTGGGCCAAAGCTAGCCTGACCCAAATGCTGTCTCACTCTTTAAAATTTTGGGTTTTTGGGTTTGGGCACGAGAAAAGCTGGCCTATCAAAAGGTTTGGGGGTGGAGAGGAAAAGGGGGTCCCCTTTTTTTGTCCCCTGGTGGCACAGTTACCACTGGGAGGGGCAGCCTAATCCTGAGCCCTTCTCGGGGTGGAGTGTGCATGCAAAAAGTACGTAACCTTTATTCAGCCATGTACACACCCTCATTTCAGGCTTCCCCCCAAACCCGCGAACCAGGGTTTCTAAGAGTTGATATGGGGCCCCGTCGTTAACTAGGGGCCCGGTGCGAATTATTTTTAAAACCATTTTTACAAATGCAGTAGCGAATAACGTAATTTGTTTTTTTTGTATAAAAAAATCAAAATAGAAAGCAATAATAAAATAAAAGTGCCCTAAGAGTGATAATGAACAGAGGATATGTTATTTTACTGCTAAGAATGTCTACCTTGTTTATACTGGACCCTATTTTGAAAATGGCATCTTTTTTAATTTGCATGAAATTGGCCAAATTGCCAATTTCTGACCACTATATTGGGTAGTTCAAATTGGTAAATAGGTGGTTTCTTGTACTCAGCTGATAGATAAAATGGAGTTCTAAAGAAATAGCTATGAGTTTGGTCAACTGGAACAACGGAATTGGCTGAAAACAGGGCTCAAAGTTGGCAAAATCGCCGATACGCATATGTCGCCGAGACCACTAACTTCGCGGTAGCGTAATTCCATGAGTTTTCGACCAAATTTCAAACTTTTGGTGTCATTACCATCGGAAAAAGATTCTCTATCATTTCATAATTTTTTTTTTTTTTTTTTTTTTCAAAAATTTATCGACACAGAATGACAGTTTCAGAAAGGGGCCTGCGACAGTCAAAGGGTTAAGGTAGTTGTGATCTATGTGTTATTCTTTTCAGGAGATGAAAATATCAAAACACAATTCGCAAACACAGCTTGGTCTGAGAAGAGAATCATATGAGTACGAGACGTATATTCACGAACACTGGGACAGGGGTGGAAGGGAAGGAAGGTAGGCCTTCCCCGCAGAGACAATGGCCCGGCTCAGAGCCACAAGGCCTGAGAGCTGGGGAAATATCCCTGCAGCCCACGGGCAACACTCCAAACTTTTTCCCTGCTCACAAATGGAACCATGTTAAGTCAGTTTTATGAAGTGTTCTATTAAAATATTCTGCAATTTTTCAATAATGCAATAACTAAAATGTGGAAAATAAACCTGTGTAATATAACAGTCTACTATATCATAATTTACAACTGAAAGATACTGGAGGGATTGGTCCCAATCCTGCATGCTGAAATTACTACTTATGAACACAAGAGGCTTGGCAGATGGTGCATAATACCTCCATTGAAAAGCAGGGGTGCGATGAGTACAATGGGAGAAAACACAATAAGTGTTATGGGGTCATGATTCTTCAACACCCTCTCTTCAGGGCAAAATTAATCTTAATATATGTTGTATACAGAAGTGACCAGTAGTGAAATACACTTGAACATAATAACAGATTAATAACCAAAAAAATTATATCTAGGGAATATAATTATATCTTTAGCTTCTAGCCCCTAATATTATTTTCATAAAACATCAGAATTATATACACATTATATCTTCAATTTTTTTTATTATTTTCATAAAACATCAGAATTATATACACATTATATCTTCAATTTAAACAAATAATCAACAGTACCTGGGGAGAAATGTATAATGTTTCGAGGTTAACAAATGCTCCAGGATGAATAAGTGTATGTCCAAGTTTTGTGATATTAATCACAACAAGAGTTCTAAGAGTTTCACAACATGTACTGCAGACCTGAAAGGGAAAATAGTTTAAACAATCAAACTTTCAAAAATATTTATTTCTAACTCATAAATGATTAATAAGGCCCTGATCCACCATGAGGCCTGGTCATGGATTGGACTGCAGGGGGTGTTGACCTCTGAAACACCCTCCAGGTATACTCCAGGTAGCTATTACCATCATGCAGTGCATGAGGCAAGATATTTTAATACTGTGTACACCCACAATACAGACCCATTCTCTTATGTCTAGGCCAAACTTTGCTGTTCATGGTAAATTTGAGGGCACTATAATTACCTATAGTCCTACAGCACTGGCATTGATCCCACTGATGTAGATCTATATGATTGACAGTTAAGCAGTTAATAATTGGGTGGTGACACTATTACATGATGTTATTTGATAGTAACAATAAATTATTGCAGTAATCACACAAGGGTAAGAGTGCTTTATAACAAGGGCTTTGAAGATCGAGACACTTATGCAACATATGGGAATCTTTATTTAGGAAACGTTTTGCCACATTGTGCCTTCATCAGTCCAATACAAGGTAGAAGTGGGTAAGGAGAGGAAGAGTTTGAGGTAATCAGTCCCTCAGCCTGGAATCGATGAACACATCAATACCAGGCTGAGGGACTGATTACCTCAAGCTCCTCCTCTCCTTACCCACTTCTAGTTTGTACTGGACTGATGAAGCCACTGTGTGGCGAAACATTTCCTAAATAAAGATTCCCATATGTTGCATAAGTGTCTCAAATCTTCAACTTGTTGGTTTTCAAAACCATTTAACAAGGGCTTTGAAGCAATATGAAGATCAGGAACATTTTGCTTCTTCAGGTAGTGAGTTCCATATTTTAGTGCTCTTTAAATGCATGGAGTTTCTATACAGGTTAAGTTAAACATTTGCTAAGTTAAAGAGATGATTGTTCATTGTGTTGTGTCATTGTGCTTTATTTAAAGTAGCTCTCCAAGAACAGTTCAAGCATCTTTAAAGGTTCTAAGAGCTCAGGAGTGCATCTCCCAATAGTAAATATAAAAAATAAAAAAATCCCAGAAATCATATTATATTGTCCTGATCATTAACTATCAGAATAAACATCCCCCCTTCCCATCATATGCACACACACAAGCACACATTAAAAAAAAAAGATTCTTTGGACTCTTCATATGATCTAATTTAGGCTGGTTATTTAGTCCACTGCCTCAGCATGCAGCCCCTGCTGGTTAAGCATGAGATGAAGCTCAAGAAGGTCCAAAGATCTGCAACCAGATAAGTACTACAACTAAGGGAAATGCACTATGAGGAGAGGCTGAAGGAATTTAATCTGACAACCCTTATGGAGAGAAGGATAAGGGAGAATATGGTTATTATACTATACCAAATCCAAGGAGGAATTGATAGAGAAGATAGGGACAGAATATTGGAAGGGCCAATATCAAGGGAGACAGATGGAAGCTGAAGACACAGATGAGCCACAGGGATGTAAGGAAATATTTCTTTAGTCTCCAGGTGGTTGAGAAGTGGATTGATCTGGCCAAGGAAATGGTGGAGGCAACTCAAAGGCAAGAGTAGATATGATAAGGTCCAAGAGGCCAAAAATCAATGATACTAGCCAAAGTGAACTTTTATGTAGCTCACTGAGAAATATTTAGTCATTTTTTGTGAATTTGTTTTTCAAATATTACTGTATAGAGTACTAAAAGGCTTACTTCATCAAGTAACTGAAGTCCTTCACATCCCTCTAAAAGTAGATCTCTCAATTCCAGTGTTCTAAGTGAAGAGAAAATTCCCATAACTTTTTTAAACATGGCCAAAATTTGGCCACCAGTACCAAACACAACTTCTTCAGAACGTTCTGACTGGTGACAAGCAAACCAGAACCTAAAGAATGGACATTATAATTAAAAATATTGCAATATACAGTACTGCACAAAGAAGTCCACAATACAGCTTATACCGGTAGTTAATCTGTGTGAACATTTTTACTGAATATTGCCACAGGCTAGATACATACTGTAATCACTAAACAAAGAACTTTATTTTTATAAAGTGGCATACTGTACATTATACAATTAGGATAACTGATACATAAACTACTTTACAGAAAGTCCCTTGTTATGTAAAACATTTTTGGCAACCTTAAAACTAATTAATCAAATTAAAGATACATTAAAGATGAAGCCAGTTACCTGAATTGATACAAAGAAAAAATGCCTTTCTAGTAATAAATGAGAGTTGAAGGAAGGGTGGAACATAACCAGGGACAATAATGGATGGAAGATAGGGTTTCAGGATTTGTTCGGCACTCACTGTTGTGCTTACAAAGAACAGATGGCAAGGAATATAAAAATGCTCTGTACAAAAATATAAAAAGTAATGTACATATCCTAAATATATGGTTCATTACATTTATGCAGATGTGTTGAATTTTGTAAGAACAGAAGGTAATATTTTGAAATGACACAAAAAGAAAACTGAAATTCACTAATGATATTCAGTTGTGAAGTTAGTGGTTCAAATTCAACAATTAGTAAGGTGTAATGAAGAGGTGTAAGTGCTAAAAAAAATAATAATACAAAAAGCTTCAATGAGGAGGTATTAACCCTTTCAGGGTCCGTCCCGTAGATCTTCGGCTTTACATTCAGGGTCCAAACTGTAGATCTACGCCATTAGCTCAGCTCACTCTGATAAACTGTGAGTGGTAAATTTAGGCCTAGATATGAGAGAATACATCTATGTGGTATGTGTGCACCACATAAAACAAATCCTGCAGCACACTGTATAATGAGAGAAAAAAAACTGAGACAGTGATTTTCAATTAAAACAGCGACATTGCAGTATTTTTTCGTATGTTTTTTATAGTTGTATTTACGATTTCTTGGTCCCATTTGATAGAATGGAAGACATATTACAGAAATAGAGATGATTTTGATTGGTTTTAGCACTGGAAATGGCTTGAAACTGAGCTCAAAGTAGAGGAAATGTTAAATTTTTGCCAATGTTCAAGAGTAAACAAACGACCTCACACGTCTAATACACACCAGCTGGTGGGTCTAATATACATTCGCAAATGTGGTGATGATATTTATACAGGTCCGCCATCACAAATCCGGCAATCAGTTATTCGGTTCCTTCAGTTATTCGGCACTAATTTTGGCTAGTATAATTTCAAATTTCCAGGGTTGCCACACCAACCTGCTGGTACTGTTTGGTGGCGCTACTTGCTGCATAAGTCATTCCTATTTCTTTTTCTCCATTTATTGTTTTAACCTGCTTACTTTTAGCCCTAGCCATGGTTCCAATGAATAAAAGAAATGCTTCTCATTATGCAAAGCACCTACACAGTACATTATCCATTAAAGATAAGGTGGCTTTGAAGCCACTGTTGGTTGTCATGAACTCAGTCTCATGAAGCAGGAGAATATGCTTTATTATTATGCTAATATCAACACTACAGCCTATTTGCCTATCACAATTGATCTAATATGCCATAAGAAACAATATAAATAACATAAAACATGTTAAATACTCCAGAATGAATAATATTTGGCATAACACCGAGCAGTTCGACGGAGGTATGAAGAGGATATGGTATACAAATACCATTCTTCTATCCCTGTCTTGGGGGCTTATATTAGAGAAAACGGAGTATAGCACAGGGCTAACTGTGATATACACTCGTACTGCACCATAAACCTGAAACAAAAAAGTTGTTTTCTCTATATAGATTATCACACATAGCAGCATGTGTGTAGAGAACCTAGGATAGCCCAAAAAAAGTCAATGTGGCTTATTTTTAGTACCTGGCTTGGGTTAGCCATATATGATTTTTGGTAAATATTCGATTCCCAGCCAGGGTAGAAACATTAGGCGTGTTTCTTTACACCTGTTGTCTATGTTTACCCATCAGTAAATGGGTACCTGGGTGTTAGCCGACTAGTGTGGGTGTTATCCTGGGACACTGGCCTAATTTTCTTGAAATACTCTGCAAAACAAGCGGCTTTCTATACAGTAGTATGTCACTGATGTCAGCTAGGCCTGTATACCTTGTACATGTATGTGTAGTAAATAAAGATATTATTATTATTATATTATTTTCTCAGTTGTTTGTTGGGTTATCTTATTCAAACTTGGGCAATGTATGATGGAAAGATACTTCTTCACGTACACCAAAAATGAAAGAAATCAGACCATAAATAGCGGAGTTCACTTCTCAGCCATTAGCGGCCGCTTAGCGGTATATTTTTGTATGGTTGTTATGGTTATATTCTCATTTTTTCGGTCTCATTTGATAGAATGAAAGATATATTACAGAAATAAATATGATTTTGATTGCTTTCATGACAAAAAGTACCTTGAAATTGCGCTCACAGTAGCGAAAATGTTCTATTCTTCAGCGAAGCTCAAGAGTAAACAAATGACGTCACCGTCCAATACTTGTCCATCTGCCAGTCTAAATTCCAGTACACAGTCAAGAATGGATTGACATTATTTATACAATTATTACAATAATGCATCAGTCTGCATAACAGTAAATCTTCTATTTCTTTGTGAATAAAAATTCCAAATGAAAAGCAAGAGTAATATAAGAGGGGCCTGGAGACGTGACTTATGAACAAAGAAACTGTTATTTTAGTGCCAGGAATGTCTGCATTGTTTATTCTGGACCCTATTTTGAAATTGGCATCTGTTGAAATTTGTGTGAAATCGGCCAAATTGCCAATTTCTGACCACTTTATTGGGTAGTTGAAATAAGTGAATGGGCAGTTTCTTGTACTCAGTCGACAGACTAGAAGTAAGTAAATAAGTTTATTCAGGTATACACAAATACAGTTACATAGATTATCATACATAGCAGTGTATGTATAGAGAACCTAGGATAACCCAGAAAAGTCAGACAAAGTGACTTATTTCCAGTACCTGGCTTGGGCTTGTCATATATGATTTTTGGTAAATATTTTTTTTTCTCGGTTGTCTGTTGGGCTATCTCATTGAAACTTGGGCAATGTATGATGGAAAGATGCTTCTTAATGTACAACAAAAATAAAAAAGACGGACGATAAATAAGGGAGTTCACTTCTCAGCCATTAGCCGTCTCTTTGCAGTATATTTTCGTATGGTTTTTATGGTTGTATTCTCATTTTTTTGGACTCATTTGATAGAATGGAAGATATATTACAGAAATAGACATGATTTTGATTGCTTTCATGATGAAAAGTACCTTGAAATTGAGCTCAAAGTAGCGGAAATCTTCAATTTTTGCCGGTGTTCAATGAACTGTGCAAGTCAAGTTGGTTAATTTTATTAAGTGTATTCCAATCTAACCACTCTGTAATCCGGCAAACTCAGTAATCCGGCAGACTACAGGTCCCAATGATGCCGGATTTGTGATGGAGGACCTGTACAATTATTACAATACTGCATAACAGTAAATCTTCTATTTTTTGGCATGAATAAAAATTCATTATGTGAATAAAAAATCAAAATGGAATTAATTTGTAAAGCCTCAAAACGTAACTAATGAACAGAGAAAATGTTAATTTAGTGCCAGGATTACCTACATTGTTTATTCTCGACCCTATTTTGAAATTGGAATATTTTGAACTTAGTGTTAAATTGGCCAAATTACCAATTTCCGATCACTTTATTTTGTAGTTGAAACAGTTGACTTGGCGATTTCTTGTGCTCAATCGATAGAATAGAAATAATACTAGTGAAATAGCTAAGAATTTGGTCGACTGGAATAATGTAATTGGCCTAAAATGGGAGTCAAGGTCAGCAAAATCGCTGATTCATAAATATCGCTGACACATCAAAATTCGCGAGAGCATAATTTCGTCAATTTTCCATGAAATTTCGTACTTTTTGTTTTAATACCTTCACAAAAAGATTCTCTACCATTTCATAAGAAAAAATAACAATTTTTTTTTTTTTTTTTAAATTCTTGGACACTGGGGCACCACTTCAGATTCTGGCCTTGGACCCTGAAAGGGTTAATCTCTCATTAAGGACAGTTACATTAACACTTCCAAAGTAAACACTATACAGATAAAGAATAACAGCCCATATGTATGTAAAAGCAAGTCTCAGTAGTTGCCAGCACAATCTCTATATATAAATTGCAAGTATCTTAACATTATAAACATTTTGGGGTAACATTTCACTTTAAGTGTAAGCTAACATTTGCATAAAACTTTGTCCAATGAAAGGACTTACTTTGCTTTGCCTAGTATGCAGGCAGTTTGCTTATCATACCTTTATTAGCATTTAATCTTCTAAAAGCTATATTTATAATTCACAAAATTTTTTATGACATCTAGAATTAATACAGAGTAAATTATAAACAAGTTATCTTTACATTGCAACATACCTCAAAGTATGCACATTATCCAGAGTGCCAGGGCAGTTGTTATGCATGTAGAGTGAAACATTTAGAAATTCATAGAGGTTGAATAAATTGGTCATGGGTGGAAATATTAAAGTTTGGATATGCATTCCTTTCTTGGTAAGGAAGATGGTGACACGGATATGATCTAGTAATTTCTGTAAATCAAAGAAAAAATGCATTTACCCAAGAATTCCAATGCTTTTTTTTATTTTTTATATACAGCACTTTTTATTAGGACTGTCTCACAGCTGACATTCTACATGGTTAAAACTTCATACCGAAATAATAGTAAATAGGTGTACAGAAAAAACATTTGTTAGCTTCTATCACACTTTTTACCTTACCTCACATCTCCTTTCCTTAAGGAATTTTCTTTGTAAGGCATTAGTTAAGTACAGAATAGTTTCCATATAAGCTAAATAACAAAATAACTATTCAAAAAAATAGGAAAATGATTGACAAAAGCTTTTCAAAATAGCTAGGAAGTACTTATCAGTGCTAGATAAGAAAATAAGAAATAAAAATATTAGTGTCCACTTAACATTGGTCAATGGTGGAAAGAAAATAGGATAAAATAGTAGTCCATCTAACACTGCTCACTGATGGAAGCTTTAGCAGTGATAAGTGAATTTAAATATTTCATTTCTAATCTTCCTATTTAACACTGATAATAAGTCCCTACAAGCAATTTCCTAATATCTGGTATGAAGTTTTTGCTATTCACTTGTTATTAAATCTATTATTTCTCATTAAATACTGAATAAACAAATAATATCTTCATAAAGAACAAAAAGGCACAGTACCGTGACTGAAACAATACACGAATAACCCACACATAGGAGAGAGAAGCTTACTGTAATATTTCAGTCCAACTTGGACCATTTACGTCGATGTAAGCTCCTCTCTCCTATGTGCAGGTTATTTGTGTAAATCTCTTTATAATTTATAGTTATATTTGGAAGCAACTGCAGAGCTGTTCAGGCTTATTTGGCTATCTCAAAGCAAAGCAGCTGCCATCTGCCAATGCTATGTGAACAAGATGTGGGCTTGCAAAGGACTAAAAGGGATTTGAAAAATATCACTTTATGAGACATGCAGCAGGCTTGTAATTAGTATTGTAAAGTGAATAAATTTAAAGGAGAGAACCATTAATGGAACATATAATTTTCTTTTCTCAAAGTAATATTTTTATGAGTGAACAAACCCAACTGCCCTAATGAGACTTAAAATTTATTAATAAACATTTTTGCCAGTAACACACATTTTAAGAAAATAATAAAAGTAAATTAAATTAAGAGTGGATAAAATAAGATACCGACCTGCCAACCTGCACAATAATTGAATTTTCTTTTTGTAAGAAGGGTATCACTAAGTTCAAATGTATACCACACTCTAGGGAAGAAAAAGGCTTCATACCACCTTCTGCATACCTGAAAAGTCACAAAATTAATACCCTAGTTAAGTGCTAGAAATTTACTCTCACTGTTTTTCTCCTGCTTTCTATATGATAAACAACAACATTAAGACTAACTGTTTTCTGTAAGATGTCTATGTTATACTGGGTTGATAAAATGCAAAACAGCCCCTAATTCTTCTCATGTACTGTCTATTCATAAATTACATTCATAAAGTAAGAGTGAAATGATTTATTATTATAATAATGTTCATTGTTGGAAAGTCTGCATTAATATACATCATCTCTTCTCTCAACTCATAATTCTCTTCATATTCAAAAAATGCTGAAGACTGTTGCAATATTTGGTCTTGCTTAGTTTAAGAACTAGTTGTGGATCTACCTGGACAGGTTAGCTTGGGCTCCGCATTAAAGCAAGGACTTTATATATATTGTATTATGGCAGAATATGCCCTCATTTGTATGACTACCTATTTGTGATTACCTATCTGCGGCTAGAGAAGCAGCACTAAGCTTGTGGTAGCCCTGTGGTCTGTTTATTCTTTTGTATGTGTGTGTGTGTCTTTTTACTAGGTCTACTTCAATTATTGGGACAGCCTCAATCACAACCAATTATGATTTTTTTTTTAACACATCAGCCATTACCCACCAAGGGAGGGTGACTCAAAGAGAGCGAAAAATGTAAAAAGAAAGAAAAAAAACTGTGATCATCATTCAACACTTTCACAATCACTCATACATAATCACTATGTGGACAAAAGTTGCAAACCTCACTCAAGAAGAAAGATCTTGGGGTGACCATAACACCGAGCACATCTCAGAGGCACAGATCAACCAGATAACGGCTGCAGCATATGGGTGCCTGGCAAACCTGAGAATAGCGTTCCAATACCTTAGTAAGGAATCATTCAAGACACTGTACACTGTGTACATCAGGCCCATACTGGAGTATGCAGCACCAGTTTGGAACCCACACCTGGTCAAGCACGTCAATAAATTAGAGACAGTACAAAGGTTTGCAACAAGGCTAGTTCCGGAGCTCAGGGGAATGTCCTATGAAGAAAGGTTGAGGGAAATCGGACTGACGACACTGGAGGACTGGAGGGTCAGGGAAGACATGATAACAACATACAAAATAATGTGTGGAATAGACAAGGTGGACTGAGACAAGATGTTCCAGAGAGGGAACACAGAAATAAGGTGTCACAATTGCTGCAGCATTGACAACCCATGCTTCACACCCATATAAGAGTATTGGTACCACTATGCTCTCGTACATTCCCTTCTTTGCCTCCATGGACAACTTTTTTGTCTCCACAGATGCCTCAATGCACCACTCACCTTTTTTCCTTCATCAACTCTATGATTAACCTCATCCTTCATAAACCCATCTGCTGAGAAGTCAACTCCCAAATATATCTGAAAACATTCACATCTTCCATACTCCCTCCCTCCAATGTGATATCCAATTTTTCTTTATCTAAATCGTTTGATACCTTCATCATCTTACTACTAGTTATGTTTACTTTCAACTTTCTACCTTTACACACCCTACCTTAATGGGAAATGGCTGTGTTAAAAAATTGTTTAATTAGTATATAATAGAGCAAAACTTCAGTTTTTTGTGTGATAATTGATTCAAAATGGAGGGCAGATGTTATATATGAGAGAAGTAGGGATGTAATAATTGAACAGAGGAAAGGATGCTTTAGTGACTGGAATGCCTACAGTATCTATTTTGGACTCTTTAACCCTTTGACTGTTTTGGTCGTATATATACATGTACATCTTACGAGCCACTGATTTTGGAGTATATATATACTCATAAATTCTAGCGGCTTCAAATCAAGCAGGAGAAAGCTGGTAGGCCCACATGTGAGAGAATGGGTCTGTGTGGTCAGTGTGCACCATATAAAAAAAAATCCTGCAGCACGCAGTGCGTAATGAGAAAAAAAAACTCCGACCGTTTATTTTTATTAAAATGCCAACTTTGTGGTCTATTTTCGTATCGTATTTATGGTTGTATTCTCGTTTTCTTGGTCTCATTTGATAGAATGGAAAACATATTATAGAAATAGAGGTGATTTTGATTGGTTTTACTATGAAAAGAACTTGAAATGCAGCTCAAAGTAGGGGAAATGTTTGATTTTTGCTGAAGTTCAAAAGTAAACATATGATGTCATTTTCTAATGAATGTCCAAGTAGCCATTCTAATATGCAGTCATGAATGGGTTGACATTATTTATACAATTATTACAATATTGCAGTAGTCTGCATAACAGTAAATCTTCTATTTTTTGTTTGAATAAAAATTCAAAATAGAAAGCAAGAGTAATATCAGAGGGGCCTGGAGACATGACTGATGAACAAAGAAAATGTTATTTTAGAGCCAGGAATGCCTGCATTGTTCATTCTGGACCCTATTTTGAAGTTATCATATTTTTTTCATTTTCGTGAAATTGGCCAAATTACAAATTTCTGACTACGTTATTGGGTAGTTGAAATCGATAAATGGGCAGTTTCTTGTACTCAATCGATAGAAAAAATAGAGTTCTAAAGAAATTGCTATGAGTTTGGTCGACTGAAGCAATGGAATTAGCCGAAAATAGGGCTCAAGTGGGCGAAATCGCCGATTCGTAAATATCACCGAGGTCGCTAACTTCATGAGACCGTAATTCTGTCAGTTTTCCATCAAATTTCGTTCTTTTGGTGTCACTACAATTGGGAAAAGATTCTTTATCATTTCATAAAATAATTTTTTTTTTAAATTTTGCAACACCAGGAGATACCTCAGGATTTGGGGTTGAAACAGTCAAGGGGTTAAATTATAATTTTTTAATTTTGTGCAAAATTGGCCAAACTGTGTGGTTTCTTGTACTCAATCGATCAAACAGATGGCATACTAATGAAATTGCTAGGAACTGAACACTGAAATTGACTTAAAATAGGTCTCACAGTGGGGGCAAAATTACTGATGTGTTGACTGCTCCCAAACTGTCAACTTTGTATCTGCGTAATGCCATAAGTTTTCCATCAAATTTCCCATTTTTGGTGTCACCTTTAGAAAAAGATTAACTAATACTGTGGAACCTCTACTTACGAGTGCACCCACATACAAGTTTTTGCAGATACAAGCAGTCGCTCAGTCGATTTTTTGCTTCCAGACACGAGCGAAATTTCCAGATGTGAGCAGGCCTCTAGGGAGGTTCCTTGATGCCGGTGAGGGATTTTTGCTCTTGATCTAGGAAATTGGATCTCATTTGTTTGTTGGGCTATCTTATTGGGCAATGTATGATGGAAAGATGCTTCTTAACGTACACCATAATTGAAAGAAATCAGACTATAAATAACGGAGTTCACTTCTCAGCCATTAGTCGCCCCTTAGCAGTACAGTGGAACCTTGAGTTTCGCACTTAAAGGACCCCAATGGAAATAAGTCACTGTGTCTAACATTTTGGGTTATCCTAGGTTCTCTACACATATGCTGCTATGTATGATAATTCTATGTAACTATATTTGTGTATACCTGAATAAACTTACTTACTTACTTTTTTTTTTTTTTTTTCCAACAAGTCGGCCGTCTCCCACCGAGGCAGGGTGACCCAAAAAAGAAAGAAAATCCCCAAAAAGAAAATACTTTCATCATCATTCAACACTTTCACCACACTCACACATTTATCCCAACGCTTTTGCAGAGGTGCTCAAATACAACATGCTTACGAAGCATATACTAATAAAGATATCAGAACATATCCCTCCATACTTGCCATATACCCAACCCCCCTTTAAAGTTTTCAGGCATGTAATATCACCATTTCCAGGACTCAAGTCCACTATATGAACAAACCGGTTCTCCCTGAATCCCCCCTCACTAAATAATTACCCTGCTCACACTCCAACATGATCTAGTCCCAAGTATCATTCCGCTCCATTCACCTCTATCTAACACGCTCATGCACACTTGCTGAAATCCAAGCCCCTAGCCCACACAAACCTCCTTTACCCCCTCTCTCCAACCCTTTCAAGGACGACCCCTACCCCTCCTTCCTTCCCCTACAGATTTATATGCTTTCCATGTCATTCTACTTTGATCCATTCTCTCTAAATGACCAAACCACCTCAACAACCCCTCTTCTGCCCTCTGACTAATGCTTTTATTAACTCCACACCTTCTCCTAATTTCCACACTCCGAATTTTCTGCATAATATTTACACCACACATTGCCCTTAGACAGGACATCTCCACTGCCTCCAACCGTCTCCTCGCTGCTGCATTTACCACTAAGCTTCACATCCATATAAGAGTGTTGGTACTACTATACTTTCATACATTCCCTTCTTTGCCTCCATAGATAACGTTTTTTGACTCCACATATACCTCAACGCACCACTCACCTTTTTTCCCTCATCAATTCTATGATTAACCTCATCCTTCATAAATCCATCCGCCGACACGTCAACTCCCAAGTATCTGAAAACATTCACTTCTTCCATACTCCTCCTCCCAATTTGATATCCAATTTTTCTTTATCTAAATCATTTGATACCCTCATCACCTTACTCTTTTCTATCTTCACTTTCAACTTTCTACCTTTACACACATTCTCAAACTCATCCACTAACCTTTGCAATTTTTCTTTAGAATCTCCCATAAGCACAGTATCATCAGCAAAAAGTAACTGTGTCAATTCCCATTTTGAATTTGATTCCCCATAATTTAATCCCACCCCTCTCCCAAACACCCTAGCATTTACTTCTTTTACAACCCCATCTATAAATATATTAAACAACCATGGTGACATTACACATCCCTGTCGAAGACCTACTTTTACCGGGAAGTATTCTCCCTCTCTTCTACACACCCTAACCTGAGCCTCACTATCCTCATAAAAACTCTTTACAGCATTTAGTAACTTACCACCTATTCCAAATACTTGCAACATCTGCCACATTGCTCCTCTATCCACTCTATCATATGCCTTTTCTAAATCCATAAATGCAATAAAAACTTCCCTACCTTTATCTAAATACTGTTCACATATATGCTTCAATGTAAACACTTGATCTACACATCCCCTACCCACTCTGAAGCCTCCCTGCTCATCCGCAATCCTACATTCTGTCTTACCTCTAATTCTTTCAATTATAACCCTACCGTATACTTTTCCTGGTATACTCAGTAAACTTTTTTTTTTTTTATTATCACACCGGCCGATTCCCACCAAGGCAGGGTGGCCCGAAAAAGAAAAACTTTCACCATCATTCACTCCATCACTGTCTTGCCAGAAGGGTGCTTTACACTACAGTTTTTAAACTGCAACATTAACACCCCTCAGTAAACTTATTCCTCTATAATTTTTACAATCTGTTTTGTCCCCTTTCCCTTTATATAAAGGGATTATACATGCTCTCCGCCAATCCCTAGGTACCTTCCCCTCTTTCATACATTTATTAAACAAAAGTACCAACCACTCCAACACTATATCCCCCCCTGCTTTTAACATTTCTGTCATGATCCCATCAGATCCAGCTGCTTTACCCCCTTTCATTCTACGTAATGCCTCACGTACCTCCACCACACTTACATTCTGCTCTTCTTCACTCCTAAAAGATGGTATACCTCCCTGGCCAGTGCATGAAATTACCGCCTCCCTTTCTTCCTCAACATTTAAAAGTTCCTTACTTACTTACTTACACTTAATCTGTTCAAGGAGCTAGTTCTAAAGTCAAAATGTTCAAAAGTCGAACCAATATTTCCCATAAGAAATAATGGAAATACAATTAATCCGTTCCAGAAACCCAAAAATATGCACAAAAATACATTTTATAAAGATTACATTATGGTTTTACATACACACAACAAATATACAT